TACTCCTTTATTTTGCTAACAGAAAATAATGGGTTTAACTATGGCATTTTCAACAAATGAACCAGTATGGTCTGTTTTGAGATAGGTTCTCACTATGTAGCCCAGGCTAATCTAGAATTCACGCGTAGACTGGGCTGGCCTGGAACTCCCAGAACCTTCCTGCCTCTGCCCCTTGAGTTCTGGGAAGAAAGGCACACCACCTCATCAGTATCAGCCATAATTTCAGATGTCAAACACACTGGAATCTAAAACCTCATCATTTCATATCCAAAGCAAACCTACTAAAACAATCCTTTAGAAAGAAGCTAATAAAGTGATCAGTCACCTCCCAAAGGGTCCTTGCCATACCATATCAAAGATCACACTAACAATCCTAACAATCAAACAGGAATACCTGAATACTGGCAGATGTAAAGACTAGCTTCTAAAACTGCTTCATCTACTTTCTCTTAACATTACGAAGATTCTGAAAAATAGCTAATCTGCCTTCTCCTAACATTACGAAGATGTCTGTTTGAGAGATAGCACACTCAGCCTATGATAAACAGCTACTCTGCCCTCCTAAATGTCATGAGCAAGAGCTTTTAGGGCACTGAACAGCCATAAACCTTTTCTGTTATTTGAATACTGTCAATCAAAATCATTACAAACAAAATTCTTCACTGTGTTTTCATTTACTTTCGTCTCAAGACAGGGTTTTTCTATGTAACAATCCTAGCTGTCCTGTAACTTGTTCTATTGACCAGGATAGCTTGGAACTCACAGAGATCCACCTGCCTCTGCCTCCTAAGCACTGGGATTAATGGTGAGCGCCACCACCACCACCTGGCTATTCACTGGTGTTTCCCATTTATAGTCATATGAAAAACCAAACAAGCAATGTGTTATTTGAGGTGTGCTTGGATGACGGCCAGATGTAGTGGCACAGGCTTGTGATGCCGGCACTCATGAAGCTGAGACAGGAAGTTCAGGAGTTCAAGGCCAGCTTGAGCTACCACAAAGCAAGACCCTGAGGTCTCATAAGTGGGCAGAAGCAGAAGGAAGAGAAGAAAGGAGATGTTGTTTTCAATAAAATAAGGAGGGGACACATAATTAATGTTAAGGACCATTCTGGGCTTAAGGAAAGCAAATTGTGGAAGCTTCAGCAATGGCTAACTGGATAAAGTACTCATCACATAAGCTCAAAGACCCAAGTTCACATCTCCAGATCACATATTAAAAATGAAACAGGTGTGGCGATGCTTGTAATCCCACTGAAGAAGTGGAAACAAGGGATCCCAAGGGATCAGTTGGCTCGATGGGATTCAGTTATCCTCACATTCAATGAGAGACCCTGCCTCAAAATATAGTGCAGGAACAGGGAAGAGAGCTAACATCAACTTCAATTCTCCACATGTGTGCACATATGCACGCACACACACACACCCCCGACAGAGAGAATGCAATACACTCATCAGTGATAGAAATCTGCAAGTGACACATACATGTTCCAATATCAAATCTCAAGTATTCATGTTTGCTTCCCCTCCCCAAATGTAATGAATTACTTTTCTCAAGTGATAATTGAAAAGCTGCAATGTTCATACTCCCCTGCCCCTGTGTCATAAAAGGGTATGCCACCCACTGCATGATGCAAACACATGCACATCGGCCTCCTTTCCAATGACAGTCTACCTTTGCTTTGAGCTGACTCCTCTCCGTGTGACCTCTGAGAAACCTGTGCTAGTATGTTAACAGGGACGATGTGTAATGACATGCGGTCACCCTCAACAAGTACGTAAGAGAGCAAAGAGTCTGCGGTCACAAAAGGTGCTTGTTTGTATTTTTCCCTCTCTCATAAGTAGCAAGTTTCTCCAGAAAATACTTTAAGAGGATCCTGCAAGGAGTCACAGGCAACTGAAGTGAAAATTTGGCAAGCATACTTGAGATACAATGTACTCATTACACCATGTGAGAGAATATAGCAGAAAGAATGTATGTTTTCTCATCAGGCACTGTGAATCCTGCCCTTGCACTGCTCATTAAAACACATCCTAGACATAATCTTAAGTTTAGCACCGAAACACTTGCAAGACATAAAGTTTTTACCAGAGGGAACGGAATTTTTGCTTTAAGAAAACTTCCTGTTACCACTTAACTTCCAACAAGTTACATAAGACATAAAAAGTACTTATACAGATATGTAAGTTTATAAAATAAATTTGATCATTATACTTAAAGGGTAACTTTGCGAAGTACCACAGCCATAATGCTCGGACTACAGCAATATAAAGAAAGCCCTTCTAAAGGCCAGATTCTTCAGGCTCTACTGCAAGCTTCTAATTTAGTTAAGCAAGCCATGCATAAGAGCCATCTCTCTCCTTGTCTATGGCTTTCTCTACTTCCAGAAGCCTGTCTTCCAGAACAGTGTCCCACAGAAGTTCCTGGAGGGCATCGCGATACACAGACCTACGTACATACTGTAAGCAATGTTTTAAATGTGACTCTTTGCCATCAGAAATGGAGCAGTGGAAACAAGCATATCATCATCATCCTGCGGTTCCCACTTGGCTCCCCTCTCCCATCCCCTCTTCACACACCAGTGAGTTGCAGTACTTACATGGAACGTGTATTTGCATAGCCAGGGTTTACAGCACAATTTAGCAGTGGGTCACTCCACATGCTGTGCACAGGACAGGTAAGTTCAGTACTGCATAAATATGCACCTTCCAGTGGGTTTCTATGAAACCCAGGGATGAAGGCTGCTCTGCACACGAAGTTTTATGAGAAGTCAACAGAAAAGACTTCTGAAATGCACAGCAAAGCACGATTCACGCTTAATAATGGCCCTCACCATTCTATAAATGTGTGTCTAAATATCACACAGAATGTGCTATCCATAACACGGGGAGGGGGAGACCAGCACACTAAAATTCACCTATGCAGACAGAAAACAGAAGACAAACCAGTGTAACACTCAATGTGACCCGGAGCAGATGAGGAGCTTAGAACAAATTCCAGCCGTCAAGGACAAATCATTTATCATCACAGACACAACCATCTCCCAGACTCACAAAGTCCAAACACTTCGGTGTGAGCAGTAGGCCTACAGAAAAGGGTACACACACATTTATGTAGATTTTAGCTTCCTTTTTTTTTTTTTTTAAAGAGAGTGGCCTCTTTCTGCACATCTTCCTTTAAGAACTGGACAGCAGTCATGAATAGTGTTCAAGAGGAATGCTTGGTTTATCACAATGTTCTAGAATGTGAGGGTTTTTCCCTGCTCCATCCCTTCATAAGCTTCTTATTTGTGGTTTCAGTTCCTGCTCCCCCCCAGCCCCCCCCCAAAAGCCAGCCAATGCACTGACTCATCCCTACATTTATTTTAGTGAAAACGAATTAATTTGAAAGGAACAAATGCTTTCTCCACCAGTACTCTTAAAATAGCAGGTGCATCATGGCAGAGACCTGGAGGAGGAGGACGGATGAGCAGGGCAGCCTCCCTTGCTCTTAGCCTGTTCCTTAGAGCAACAGAGGTCACTGCAGAAGTCAGTACACTGTTCTCAAAGTGCAGTAAAAGTTTGCCAGAGACTCTATCAGCTAGCCTCTGCTAGGCACAACCTAAAACATGCCAGGGGTGTGGGGGATATTTTCGAAGGTATTATCAGAGAATTCCACAGTGGACCCAAGGGTGTGGGCCAAGATTACCTGATTAAAGACATACATCCACGAACACTCTCAGCAGGAGAGTGGACACAGCAGAAGACACATTGTGGCTGATTAGCAGAAGGGTGCAGCCTAGCTTCCCTCACTGCTAGCAACCACTTTGCTCAAGTTCACTCACTTCCTCGCCCTAGCCCTGGGGATCCATTCACTCCCCTAAACCCAGAGAGGCTGCTGAAAAGTTGTCAAAGTAAATCTGTGTTCACTTTTTGGATGGTTTAATGTCAATGGAGCATGAAACACCCCAGGACGGTTAATAAGTTCAGCCAGGCACGCTGCTCTGACATATTTTAATTATGCATCTGTTTTAATTGTAATCAGATTAAGTCACCGGAAGAAGCACAAATTGGAATTTTCCCAAATGGCTATTGGAGCTTTTCATCGGTTTCTAAACACTAACAACATTAAAAAAAAAAAAAAAAAAAAAATGGTAAAGACACCACCACAAGGGTGATGTTTTCCAGGAATCAATGCAGTTTCTTTGACAACAGACCGCGTCTCATTAGCCACCCAAACTAATCCAAATACAGAAGACAACTTCAGTGTCTAGGGGCGTCTTCTTCCCCAATTAGCGTCAGAAAAAAAAAAAAAAAAAAAACCACTAATGTCTAATACAAGCCTTCCCAACAGAACTGAACTGAAAGTCCGTGTTTCTGTAAAAGAGTGCCTCGTGATGGGTGAGCGATGATGTCAGCTAGCTCCAAGTTTACTACCATACACCTCAAACAGAAAGTTGACGCACAGTATGCGCGCTCTTTCTACTATTTTGGCAACTATCAAACGTGCATTTAACTTCAGGAAATAAGTGTCCTATCAATAAAAGGAAACTACACAGAGAAGATCTACTAAGGGGTGAGGAGCGACTTCCTTCCAGTCCTCAAGTAAAATCGCTTAATATGCATTTTTTTTTTTTTTGCACCAAGGTATACCTTGGACTGGTTTTTTTTTTTTTGGGGGGGGGTTAATGTAGGTTCATTAATCAGTTTTCCAAAATGCAGGGATTTCCGGGAGGAAAAAAAAAAATCTTAAGCGTCTGCCAACCGGCAAGAAGCAAGCAAGAACCTGCAAAGTAGGAGCGGAAACTCGCTTGGCCCGCCCAGCGCGCCGGCGTCCCGGCTGTTTGCTTTGGGAGTTACGGTTTCCACGTCGCCTAAGCCTTCAGGTGCTGATAATACCTGTGTCCTCGAGACACGCTTCAGCCTGCCAGCAAGCAGTTCCAGAGGCACCGGGGAGCCCCCCCGCCCCACCACCACCCCTGACGGCGTCGCAGCCACGGCCCCTTCCTGCCTCCCACTTACCTGTCATCGTAGCAGAAATCCGCACTCAGGGTGTTGAGATACAAGGCGAGCCCCAGAGCGCTGCTCACCAACTCTGCAATCATCTCTCCACCGCTTTCCCTCGGGCTTGGCTCCCAGCGCGAGCGCAGCAGCGGCAACAGAAACACAGAAGCATCAATCCCCACCTTCCGCCGCCTTCTCCTCCTGGCTGCACTTTTGCCTGGCTTCCCCGCCCGCCCGCCCGCCTCCTCGCCCTTCCGATCCCCGGGTTCCTCTCGGTCGCCGGCTCCTCCTGTCGCCTGGCTCCGCTGCTCCCGAGTGTTCCCGGGGTTAGCGGCTCACACCGCGCTCCCCATGCCCGTGCCCGCGGCGGTCCGGCTTCACGCCCCCCGCCCCCGGCGGAGGATCGGGGCAAGAGTCCTCTTGGCGCGGCTCGCGGTCCCCACCCTAACCCATGGCACTTTGGTGCGCCTTAGGTAGAGGACTGAGGAGGTAGCAGAGCGCCCGGGAAGGGGGATGGAGGGGTGGAGGGGTGGGGGCAAAGGGGCCGGACCGAGCAAGGATCCGGGACCGGCGGTGAGGAAAGCAGAGAGGGAGAGAGACGGAGAGAAAGGGGCGGGTGGGAGGGACCAGGCGAACCGCCTCTCCTCTCTCCGCCGCCGCCCGCCCGGGCGCACGACTCCGGGATCGCCCGCACCCACTCGGCCGCCACCGCGGCTGCAGCACGTTCACTCTTTATTGGTTCCCTCCCGGGCCGCCCTCTCCAGTGAAGTGAGAAGCGGCGGCTGGGGACTGGGAAAGCTCCCGCGTGGGGTTCTCGCCGCCGCCCCACGCGCCTGCGTGGCCAGCCCTCCGGCCCGAGATAGCCCCGCCCCTTTCCCCACCCCGATCAGATCCTTTCCGCCGACTCCTCCCGGTCCTACCCCCCCCCACCCCACCCACCGGCCGGAGGCTCCGCCCTCTCCCCCAGCTGCTCCAGCCCCCTCCTCCTCCAGCCCCCTCCTCCTCCAGCCCCCTCCCTTCTTCCTCTTCTTTCACCTTCCTTTTCACTCTGGAAAGCACCCCACCCCCGTCCCAGACCCCCGCCCTCCGCCCCGGGACAAGGACGACTTTTGGAAGATTGCCCAAAACGATAGCCAGAGTGCGCTCTGGGCGGGGCGATGGAGGAGGAGAAAGGCGACAGGAGGCGCTGATGATGGCTTGCCCAGTGGTGCCTACAGCCGCCTTGCACCCACTAGATTGCTAGCCAAACGTTCGGTGCCGAGAGCTGTCAGGCAAAGGTCTGGTCAGCTGGGGAGGCTTCTGGTGACACTGAGAGAGAGAAAGAGACAGGGCAGGTTCGGCGAGCGCTGGCAGCCTCACTGGCCACTAAGGGTGTATTGCCCGCGTGTACGGTGTGTGAGCTGAATTAGAATGGGAGGACCAGTTGAAGAGCTGGGGTGGATGGGGGGGGGGGGGGAGAGTGTTAAGATGCAGCGAGCTCTACTCTGAGGCCACAAGCCACCTCCGTCGACATCAATGTCAATGGAGAAGACACGTGTCCCGCGGTGAGATTATGGAAAGGGGTCCAGAAAATGAAAGAAGGGAGGCTAGAAGCACACATTGGCTCCTCAGAGATTGAGAGCGTTGGGGGGGGGGTGTCTTTCGTGGATCAGGATCGTCAGGCTGGCTCCGAGAACATAGAAGAGACCCCACGCTAGCGCAACCCTCTGCAGCGCCATCCTTCAACCCAGCGAAAGGGAAAGCTGATGCCCCTTTCCTTTCCGCCCGGATGCAAGACTGGAGGGAAGGCATCCAACATGATGAAATACGATGTAGAAGAATGGTCTGGGCAGGAGGAGCTCTGGGAACTAAAGTTGCGAGACCAAAGAGGTCCGAGGTCTGCCTGCCACACCTCCTTCCTGCCTGGTTCCCTTTCTTACTAGGCTGGTGGGTCACTTGGACCATGAACACGACTGCAGCGCCCCCTGCTGCGAGGAAGCTACAGGGCACGGAAAACAAGTCCTTCGTGCAGGACTGACTTGTCCCCTCTGGAAGAGGGAGAGCACCTAACCTGCAAGCCCCCAGAGGTACTAAAAGAAACGGAGCCCCTGGGTGTGTGGCACCGACCCGAAAAGATGTCTGGTTTTGCAAGGAAATCTTTTAGACAGTGACAAAAAGTGTTCTACCTCCAACAGGCAAATTTGGATTTGACCAAAACATACGCATGTAGGAAATTCTCAAATTATACATTAAAGAGGGTGATTTCTATTTTGCATACTCTCCTGTGTACTTTCCTTCTTTTAAAGTTCTTAATCGTATCAATTGATCCATTTAGATCCTCTCTGTCTCTGCCCTGGCTTATATATTGATAGTGGATCCCGGGGTCCAATTTGGGGTGGGACAAATACATACTGGAGTCTGATACCTGGATTTGAATATCAACTCAGCCATTCATTATTTGGGTAAGCTGGGGCCAATCACCCTCCTCATACCTCATTTTTACAAATATTCTTTGGGTTAGATGAATTACCATAAAAAGCATCTAGAAGGAGACTGGCGTGGCATGAGAAGTTAGCTGTTAGTGTTTCCAACACGTTCTTTTTTCTTGTTAATGGAAAAACAGACGTTCACCTCCAAAATAAATACCACCACACCCAACTGCTCCAATCTTAGTCCAAGCTATTGTTATCTCCCGCGGAAACTAATTTAATGGCCTTGTAAATGGGTCTCCCTTCTAACCTACAGCCCCTACTCCAAGCATTGACTTGAGGCACCAGAGAAGCATTTTGAATTCAATTCCACCCCACCCCCACCCCCACCCCGATTCGGGCTCTTTTTTTTCACTCTTCCTCTTCTGTGTACCATACATGCATCTTCTCTGGAGCCGCCTTTTCCTGGAAATGTTTTCTACCCAGACTTTCTTTGGCTACTTTCCACTGCCAAGTAGTTTGTTTGTTTGTTTTTTCAAATGCTATTACTTGGAATTTGCCTTTTTTGTAATTCATAAAGCAAGCAAGCGCATACGCACGCACGCTCACACACGTGTACGCACACCTACCTCTATCTACTACCCCATATTACTTCCTTCTTAGCATACATTCGTATCTTGAATTACCAGTTGAATGGAAGCTTCATGAAGCTAGGAAACTTACCCAGAGCCTGTGGCATCTAAAAACAAATTCGGATATCAAATGAGCAAGGAAAGTATTTAGGTGAAATTATAGAAGAAGTGAAAAGCCACAAATATTCATCAAGAAGAAGAAACAGATATGATGTCTGTGTTAAAGATGACAAGGACTTAACAAAAGCAGGAGGGAAGAAGTAAGTTGACATTTCTTAAGTGCATCACTTCCTTGGGAAAACCCATGGTGGGAAGTCATAAAAGGGCAGCTTTTTCCCCTAAAATTAATCGACATAAATGACATAAATACTAGAGGGCTTTGGGTTCAGAGTGCTAAAATCTTGTGAACACTTCTCCATTACAAAGGTACCATAGTTTAAAAAAAAAAAAATACTCGTGTCTTCCTCCACCACCACCTCAACCCCTCTGAATTGCAAGCCTCAGGAACTGAGCTATGTCATGTAATAGTACATCTCCAGATTCTTAATAGAAGGAAGACTGGACATCCTGCTGTGCTTGAAAAAGAATCCAGTTACTTGTGACAAAAATTCTATTATACCTTAACCCTGGGTCTCTGTATCCTCACAGTGCATTTAGCTCTTGTGGATTGCTCCCCAATGGCTCAAAAGTAGCCAATGCTTGCATTTTCTACCTTCCTCCAACAGCTACAGAGTGAAAATCAGACTAAACATGCCATCACTATCCCTGATGATCATTTAAGATCACATAGCTCTTTTTCATTTACCTGGTGTGAGTGGGACTTCTGCTGTCTCAGTTCTGAATTTATATATCGTTTATTTGAAGCTACTGTAGCTTTCCACAGTTGAAGGAAATTAGGCTGGTTGGCTTAAGCTTTCTACCTTAGACACAAGATTGGCCCAAAAAGTGCTAAGCCCTTATTTTCCTGAGTAGGTCCCACACATCTGCTACCCCACCACTTCCTCAATGAATTCTATTTTATAGTCGACCAGACCTAGCCTACATTTGTTCTGCATTCCCGGTCCTTTGTTGTATAATTCATACCTTTGCAGTGCCAGTCCCTCGGGGTAAAGATTTCCTTATTCGCCTAAGACATTTTTAGTTTATTGTGCAATCCCATCTTCCCTTTGGGTGTTGCATAAATATTAACTAAAAAATCCACATCTGGTGTTAGTCGTCATTTCTATTTGTCCTAATATAACTTCTCTTTGAACAATCCGTTTGGAAAGTGTGCCAAGGGTGAAATGTGGCACATAAATTCTCTTTGCACTACACAGAATGCTCTGTAAAAATGCCCACAGATTTGGTTATTTATGAACAGAAGATTTGCACCTCTTCCTTACTCTCTCAATTCCAAAGTTGCAGCAAGCTAGAGCAATTACAGCCCCTGCATGTTTTCTGTAAAGGTATGCAGGGATCTCCTGCTAAAATCTTAACAGATTGACTAGGTAGCAGCAAAATACTAGCCCAGCATGTAAGACTGCCTCTGCTGGGAGCACTCACAAGCTCTGGGTTTTGCTCAGGAAATAATGCGGCAGGAGAAAAACAGCAGAGCGTGGATGAAATGTGGGTCAGGGAATAGAAAGAGGCACATAGGCTGTGTGGTTAACTAATGGCAGTAAAAGCATTGGCTACACGTGGTACCATGAGATGCTTCCCAGCGTATCCTAACGCATTGCCATGTAGATGTGACAGCATGGAACCCAGGTTTATCCTCAGACTTGTGATCCATTAGGAATATAATTAGGACAATGCAACCCCACAGAAACAGATCCTGTCTCCTCCGTCACAAACCAAGCCTGTTCAGAACCAGCTGCTACCAAAATAATGATTGCTTTAAGAGATCCCCCCTTCTCCCAGCCTCCAGTTCAGAGAAAGTGGGGGTGGCGCGGAAGGGGAGGACAGTATAAATTACATGTTAATAATCAGCCAGGAAAAATTACAGAGATGTTGGAGAGACTCATAGGATTCAGAAGCTATCAAAGAAAGCAAGGACAGACAACCTTCTTCCTATAATTTTTCCAAATGCACTCATGTGCACCAGTATAAACAGTGATAAATAGAACAATAACAGTTTGAAAATTGCTTAGGTTCTTGACTAACAGTTTCAACTAGTCTCGGTTTCAGGAAAAAAAAAAAAAAAATATATATATA